TTTGACATCGTCATTGACAGGCACTTGATTTCATGCAACAAATTTGCTAAAGGGATTTTGTCAGACTGTGAACATCCACTGCAGCACCCACAGCTTTCACCTTGTGTCTCCTCAGGTAAAACAAGAAGTCATTTCAAAAGACTTTATGCATACACGTCTAAGTATAAGAATACCACGATGCCATATTTGGCACATATGAAAATAGTGTCACATATGATGAAAATAGCGTCAGGGACGAGCTAACCAACTAACTAACCTTCTTACCACTAGTAAATAAATAAACAATTTTCTCCATCCTCATTCCACCAAGCTTTACTGTTATTATTCTTCTTATATTTATAATCCTCTCACGCTTTTGTTTTTTGTTTATTTCCTCATAAGTGTGAACATCATTTAAGCTGCGACAAAATTGTTTTGTTTTTGTTTTTCCCCTCACTATGCTATGTCAACAGAACATTAAATTCAGTACCTCTATAACATCCTTAAATTTCCATTGCTGTAATGACAATACTGTTTGAAACAAACCCACTGTTATTATCGTTATTATTATAGTTATTATTCTCATTTTGTAATTTGCCCATTTTTGAGATGATTCCTCCTGTAAATGTGGAACCGTTCCTATGGTTGATTTTATTCATATTTTGAGTGGATAAGATGCAATGTTGGGAGAAATGCTGAGAATTTCATCCTGTATTATAAGTAGTGTATTTTGGAATAAAGCAGATTATTATTACTATAAGACGTACCACCTCTTAACTACATTTTTCAATCCCTCTTTTATCATCCCTTAATCTTATCACATATTCATTAAAACTTGGTTTATTTACTTCCCTTTCAATCGAATATTACTTAATCTGACCATTTGTTTGTTTTCTCAGACTTTATCGACTACGTTTATCTGAACATTTGTCCGTTTAGCCAGATCGTTAGAGAACCAGTGGGTGAGTACTTCCGAAGAGAGTCACAAACTAGGACAAAACAGCTGTCCAGTACTCTCTGGTTCTCTAGTGGTTCTCTAATTAATCAAATGATTGTTTACAGGATTTCATCATGAGCTGGCATTGGTATTGGACAGCTGTTTCGTCCTAGTTTGGGACAATTCAGAAGTACGCACCCACCGGGTCAGCTCATGATGAAATCCTGTATCCAATCAACCAAATCCCTACAAACCAACACTTGAATATCGATGAGATGCTCACTGGCGACTGGCCCTATTCAGGTAGGTAGTTACCTGGGGTTCTAGTAAGAAGTCGTGACCAGTAGGGTGCAGAAGGTCGAGTGTGGCGACAAATACTCGCCAAGGATATTGGCTAGTGGTCGCGGTATGTCGTGAATTGGCAGAAGTTAGAATTCATGGGCTGGTCATTGGATCGGGTCCCAGTGGCTTAATTGTTTACGAGCTCGCTAGCCTTTTAACCAGAAGGTCCTGGGCTCAAACTATAGTGGTGGGTGCGTACTGGTGAAGAGTGTCAAACTAGGACGAAACAGCTGCCAAGTACTCCCAGGTTTTCCAATAGCTCTGTAACTAATGTCAGCTCATGATGAAATGCTCCAAGCAATCAATTAAAATTCCTACAAACCAACAAATGATTGTTATTATTATGACTAATTGCATGATCTATGTGCGCAAGCCTACCATCCTATTTACAAATCACTATGACTGATTTTTATTTAACTATATTTATTTGTAAAGTTATATATATTTTGAGGAAAGCCTGATGACGTGTAATTGAAAACACTCTATCCTGATATTCTTCTCTTCATACAAAACGTATGCTAAATACTGACATCGCTGAATTTTGACATGGTACTTGCGAAATTTCTTCTGATTTTACCCGAAGAGATACAAGCAGAAAGTTTCGAATAAAGAGGATCCTCAACACTGGACAAGATAACTTTAGCCAGTTGCTTGCAAAAATTAAAATGCCTATCAACATCAATGTCAGTTAGTTGATTCAAAGGTATATCTATTTGCTGACTCCTGATAGAAAGCTGTTCATCTTAGTACAGTCTAACTCAAAGCTAACCGGCACTGAAACAGTTAGATCGTCCGCATCTTTAACATAGTTCATTTTTATCAGAGTGAGGCAAGGGAGCAATATTGGCTGTACCAATCTCTTCTGAATACACAGTCTAGGCTTAACGATTCGAACCTCAATCACCTCGGCTATATACAGTGGACGAATACAGAGTCCCTCAAAAAGATTCGGTAGGATGTGATGAATCGCCTTGAATACCTTCGTCTTTTCCAATGTGATTGACCACTATCAAATAAATGTGACAAAAATGAGTTTCGCATAGTTTTTATCTGTCCTTTTAACAAACAAAACTCTAAAGGAGATATGTTCAGTGGTATGTTGGCTAAGCTGTCTGTTGGTACACTTAACACAAGTGCCTGCACAGAAGCCGTCGAACTAATAAATGTACATAGATGTGGCAAAATTGTCTAGGTTATTCTTCGTTTGAATTCCGTGACCACCACCACAACCACCACCCCTAATATATGCACATGTTTCAATCCCTTCCTCATCATTCCTTAATCTTATACCATTTTCATTAAAGCATAGTTTTATTTACTTGGCTTACAGTCTAAATTTACCTAATCGGACCATTTGTTTTTCTTAGCCTTTATCCATTATATCAACCGGAATGTTTGTTTGTTTAATCATACTGTTTTTCATAATCCTTGTTTTTATAAATCGTTGCATATTTCCATCCTTATTATTATTACTATTATTATTATTAGAACTATTATTATTATGACTAACTGGGCAACTGACATGCATAATCTTATCATCCTATTGATTAATGATTGGTTTATATTTAATAATATTTATTTGTAAAGTTATGTATATCACAGTTAAGCCTGATGAGATCTAATTGAAAACACAATATTGTTCATGCCTATATGCACATCTATAAAATCCTGAATAAACCTTAATTACTCGCTACTGAAAGATCAGATGGCCGGCTAGAAATCAAGGAATGAACTAATATATAACTTGCTGAAGAAAGTGGAGATGGACACACGCTTAGGCGAAGTTCAGGTGACATCCTATGCCAGGCAATCGCTCTGGTGAACCCCGAATAGGAAACGACGAGTTGGACGTTGGCTTCCTGTGTTCAGATAAAAAAACTTGCGTTGTGGTCATTAAAATTTAGTTTCATTTTGGGCTTTTAATCAAGTTTTTGCGAGTTGATCACTTTTCTATGGTTTGGTTTGTAAGGGTTAGTTATGTTTTTACGAGCTGATCACGGATTGATATCAGTTAGAGAACCATTGAAAACCAGAACGTGTTCACTGACCACCAATCCAAACAATCAACACAAAATTATCCTCTGAAATGACAGAGGAAGCAAAATCCTCCTGCTGTACATGATAAACATTCCAAAAATCCTTACTAGAATATTGAAACCACATGGAATAGGCGTCACTGTGGAATCTGAACAGTTTCCTCACAGCGTAGTGTGTACACTTTGAAGATCCAACCGCAAGAGAAGAGAATAACAACGTCAAATGCACAACCCACTATATTGACAAAATCAAACATTTTCTTCACCTTCACATCCATGTTCTTTCATTTCAGTTCACACTCAAAACTACTGACATCAGTTCAGCCAAGGTAATGTAAAACCCTTTAGGCATAAAGAAACACAACGATACCTGAGTCCTGGTATTCAAATCGACTTGTAGTTATTAGACTTATTGACATAGATTAGATATGTCAATCAATAAAGCTTAAGTCACATGACCATATATCGTGTCAACGATAAAAAACATTCCTTCGGAGGTGAATGATCACTGTAATGAAATAATTGTTTGGAAAATCCTTCCCCATTGAACAATCTAATCACAATAACCTATACTTATTTGCACGTTTCAACTTCTCCCAGACTGCTTATCATTATTTTGACATTTTCAAGGTCCATGTTGATTTCATCCTTACTATTTATCTTTGTAATTCGAATGCTTCTCTTTGAAAATGTGTGTACACTGATAATGTGTTATGTTACGATGTGATTTTATTTGAGTGAATTAAGTTCATTCTAACCTTGGACTGTTCAAAGGGAGCGTTAGTGTGAGATTCTTATAGACAGAGTTTTTGATCTCCCCTTGCTAGGGGAGCGCCCGTTTTGTACGTAGACTGGATTGTGTATATAGCTGCCTAACAGCACTGTTGAGGTAATTTTGACTTTTTGATATTATTATTGTTTAACAGAACGGCAAAATTTATTCCAGAATAATCGTCTGTTTCCTGTATTTAGAGCGTTTTGTGACTGCGCGTATCACAAGGAATTTTACCACAGCTATAAAGTAGAACTCAGAGGTTGGTTTTCTGCGTTCACACCACAACGAGCCGGTTTCGGTCGCAGCATGGTTACTAGGGAAAATGAATACTTCATTTATGTAGAATGATGATAGCTTACTTTATAATGAGGTCATCGCTAAAAATGTTGTCTAGAAGAGGACAATGAAAGCTACTCACTTAGACCATTTCGCCTTCAAAACACAAAAATATCGAAAGCGTCCACTTCAGCTACAAACCTTCTAATACCTTTAAAAATAATGTGTTCGCACATGTCCAAATGTGCGTCGGTGGCACAGCGGTTAGGACGCTCGCCGACCATGCACATGGTCCGGGTTTCGATCTCCGGTTGACGCACTCCTTTACCTCGTTAAGCCAGAAATAATGCTGGTAAAGAGGGAAGGTTGAGCATGAGGCTAGCAACCCCATCCTGTAAAAATAATCACCACTGCTACAGAAACTTCAAGCCTCTAGCTTGAAGCCCTATGTTCCACTGGGAACGTGAAGGAATCAAAAAAGAAAACATGTCCAAATACAGAAAACTGAGAACACTAACTATGTTGTAAAAAATTTTGAAGAGTGAGACTTAAAATTCCCTATCACTTGTAATTATCATCAGTCTATATCATTAATATTGCATACTATTTGATAAAAAAAAAAAATCAATATTATCAATAAGTGTTAATCACTTACCACTACCAGTATTCACATGTTGAGGATAATAAACAAGAAATTGAGCATTACTGCCAAGTTGTGCACCAGCTGTAATTCCTGTAGGATGTGTACCAGCTGGTGCTAATAATTGTGCTATACGTGCTGCATTATTACTTGAATCAACTTGTAAGCATTCAGGAGTAATAACACCAGCTAACATTAAATTACTACTACCACTATTACTATTATTATTAATTACATGATTCCCAGTGCTGCCAGATGATATTGTATGTGAAGGTTTTCCATGGGTTTGTTGTAAAATATTTAGCGCTTGACGTGGATAAGCAATCATTTGATAAGTTTGATTCCCTGGTACAGTATGATTATTGCTTGGATGACTTTTTAGCTGATTTATACTTCCTGGTGTATTAGCAATCAATACTGGTCGATAATTAATTCCAGTCTGTGATGATGATGATTGTTGTTGCTGTTGTTGTTCAATTACTCTTGGTAATGTTTGTATTTCATGTAGGGTATTTGATCCAATCGGGTATTGGGTAACTAATCCACGATTTCCATGGACATAAGTTTCCATTACAGCTGATACACCAGTAGCGTGTACAACTGCTTGTACTGGTGGTTTTGATAGATTTGCTACAATATTCTGACCCAGTTGAGGCTTATGTCCACCACCACCGATAGCACTTGATAGATTCTGTTGTCCAGTTAAGGGATTCTGTGCATTTGTAGTGATAATACACTGACCACATGGGACAGCTGTAGGATTAACTGAAGCAAGTGGGGAATTTGTAACATTTGTGTTTGTATCCATTGTGGTTAGGCTTTGATTTGAAATAAGCATTTGTGAAGTACGTGGATGTGACATAATAATAATTATTGTTATTATTATCTGTTTAAGAGAACAAAAAATAAGAAAAACGAAAAAAAAACAGATTAGTGACTGACTTATGATATGCGTGTAAAGTGTGCAAATTAAACAGTGTGAAGCAGGTTGCAGACCTTTATCAACAGCTGTCCACCTACCTGGCTCCATACTGAAGGTCAGATGGACGGCTAGAAAGAATTACCAACTAGAAACTCCGGGAACGAACTAACCAAGAACCTACAACTCAAAAAGTATGCAGAAGAAAATGGAGATGGATTGGACACACACTGAGGAAACCGTCGAGTGACATTGCGCGTAATCCAAGCCATCGCTCAAGTGGAATCCAGATGGGAAACTACAAGTGGGGCGTCCGAGAGTGACATGGAGAAGGTCACGCGAGGAGGAGATGAGAGACCACGGGAAATCGTGAGGCCAGCTGAATTGGACCAGGGAGAATAGGACAAACAAGGAGATGTTCTTAATGAGCTGACATTGGTTAGAGAACCACTGAAAACCTGCAGAGAGTACTGGACAGCTGTTTCGTCCTAGTTTGGCACTCTTCATCAGTACACACCCACCACAGGGAGTTCGAACCCAGGACCTTCTGGTTACAAGGCTAGCGAGCTCGTAGACAATTAAGCCACTGGAACCCGATCCAATGGCCAGTCCATGAATTCTAACTTCTGCCAATTCACGACATAGCGCGACCACTAACCAGAGTCTTTGGCGAGTATTTGTCCTCACACCCGACCTGCTGCACCCTACTGGTCACGACTTCTCACTAGAACCCCAGGTAACTACCTACCTGAATAGGGCAAGTCGCTAGTGAGCTAGTGAGTCCCAAACTAGGACGAAACAGCTGTCCAGTACTCTATGCAGGTTTTCAATGGTTCTCTAACCAATGTCAGCTCATGATGAAATCCTGTAACCAATCAAATACCTAGAAACCAACACTTGAATAAGGAGATGTTCTGTTGTAGTCCTATGTTCCACTCGGAACACAAGGGAACAATAATAATATGATAATCATAATAATAATAAACTCATAGTGTGAAACTAGAGCTTAACATGCTGGTTGAGAAAAAGTATCATGAGTGTTAGCACCAGTTATGACTAACCGATGTATAGTTAGTTGTCTCATTGGTAATCGATTAATCATGACAGCACTAAGACATATTCCATCAAAACACTGTTCACTTCATCCGACCTCCCACCAAGTAACACAGTCACTACCGCCTTATTTCTTCCTGATATTTGTTGGTGCTTGTTTGTATGCATTTCGTGGTAATTGTCTTTCTCTCACATCACTGAATATAACTCACTACACGCCTCTCCCCGATGAAACTTGACTATATTCTGTTGACTATAAATACATTTGTCTATTCAAATTTGATCTTATGTTCTGAGTGCCTGTATACTTCGTATACATTCAGTTGACAAATTTAACTAACGGACTATTATTCCATCTTAAACATCTACCCCCATACAGTTTCTGCTATAATTTTGATTTTCGCCTTTACTGGCTATTTGTATTCTTATGGATTCATGGCTTTACAACTGTAGAGTCTGAGGAAAACGTTATTGAAAAACATCTTGTTCTTTCTGATAATTGGGCAGGAGATTAAAAATACATCAAAATCACTAAAGTGCTTGCTTTTAATCCCTGAACAGTGATATCACCATGTATGCAAATGATATACCATTGAACAGCTTAAAAGTCTTGAAATCATAGAAAAGATTTGTAGCTTAGGCGGATGATTTTGATTCTCTGAGCTGGTTGATTTAATTGCAAAGCTTTCGTTGCCCTTCTAGATACATTGTATATGATATTTTGATCGAAAATAGCTATCCCAACAAATTTATCAAGAAACACATGACAAAGAAGGCGGAAAAGAACTACTCACTATCTGTAAACAAGAAGCCTCTTTATATACGACTGCAATTCAAGGGCGATATACCAAGTGAAATAATTACGAAGAAATTAAGAAAATCAGTTCAAAGAACTTTTAATGCTTGTGAACTACACGTCTTATTCTCTACACGACCGATGGTGATTCCTCGACTGAAAAATGAAGTACCTAGACTAGCCACTTCAAATTGTATCTACCAATTCAACTGCGCTTTTGATGGAGCGAGTTATATCGACCGTTGCTCTAGGAACTTGATTTTTCGTGCTCAAGAACATCTCCCAGTATGGCTAAGTAAAGGTGTAGTGAAAACCATTAACAGTTCGATACTGGACCATCTGGTCCAAACCGGCCACAAAGCCAGCATTGAAGAATCCGGGTACCAAATAAATTGCCAAAAACATCGAGGTACCGCATGCTCCAAACAGCAGAGACTATCGCAATTCGCGTGAAACAACCAGTGCTTTGTGTGCAAAAGAAGCAAGTCCAGCCCCTACTACTGCCCTGGCCTCCAGTGGAGAGACTATAAATTCATGAATTTGTATCATTATCTTTCCTAATTTTTCTGACATTCAGCTTATTTTATGTTGATGCTACTGAACTGTAATCTATCAATATTATTGATTCTATGTTATTTAAACAACATTAATGTTGTTCATAACACTAATTCATTCATTCACTATAATGTATATATAACTGTAGAGCCTGATGATGAAGTTATCGAATGTTCCACTACAGTTAATTATCTACAATTTTTAGAGAATAATTTTTATTGACAATCAGCAAATTACATTTGAAACATCCGTGTTTGTGATCGTATGCACAAATATGACACCAAATTGAGTATCAGATAAATTATGAGAATTAATAATACAGAATTTATGAATTTATCGATTCCACAGTAGGCCAGGATAGCTATAATGATCGGACATGTTTCTTTTGCTTTGATTTTTCCTTAGGCGAACCGCGTTAGTTTCAGCTGTATTGAGTATTCGGTATCTAGAGGCTTTGGAAATTTACTGGGTACCCAACAGATGATAAAGAAAAAAAGCTTTACAATGCTGGTATTGTGGCCTGTTTGGACGAGGTGATTTAATGTAGAACTGTTGATGGTTTCAACAACACCTTTATTTAGCTACACATGTAGGTATTCCTGACTACTAGGAATTAAGTTCCTAGAGCAACAGCCAATAAAACTGCCTTTACAGGAGCAGTTGAACTGATAAATACAATAAATGGTGGTTACTCTAGATACTTCGTCTATCAGTTTCGGAATCACAACCCGATAGTGTGTGTGTGTAAGTGTGTGTATTACATCCCTTAATTTATCTGATATTCAGTTTAGTGTTATACTGATGCACATAATCAATAACAGTTGTTTTTAAACTGTAATCTATCAATATTATTGATTTAATGCAATTTAAAAATGCTCGCTCGTAACCTGCTACAAGACGGAGTTTCCTGGAGTTCCAGTGAGAAGTCGTGACCAGTGAGGTCCAACCACTCAAGTGTGAGGATGGATTTCCCACCGATGACATTGGTTGGTGGTCGCGCTAAAATCACGAATTGGTAGAAGGTAGAATTCATGGCTGGCTAGTGAATCGGGTCCCAGTGGCTGAATGGTATACAGCTTTTCTTGTAACCGGAAGGTCCTGGGTTCGAACCCTGGTGGTGGGCGCGTAGTGGCGATGATTCTCAAACTAGGATGAAACAGCTGTCTGGTAGTACTCCAGTGCTGGTTTTCAATGGTTCTCTAACTGATATCAATCTGTGGACAAAACTAGTAGTTTAAAATATTGATTTTGTTAATGATAGTAATTCTTTAATTATTATCGACATATAACTAACTATAGAACCTGATGAAGAGGAAATTCTCAAGAATGATACTCTTTGTTCACTAATTAGTCTCTTGAACTTTTTATTGCGTATTTCCAACTCGTAGAATTAATTCATTTAACAAAACCATTTAAAATTTTCAATGTTCTAGATTGACTTTCATCACGATTTTATTTAAAAGTTATAAGTACTCAGATTACAATGTATATCGATCTCCTTGATATTATAAATGATATTGAGAAATTCAACAACAACAAAAAATACAACACATGAACACGCATATAATACTGAATGTGTGAACATATCAGTAGTATATACATATGTATATATCAGGTTTCATTTTTTTCATATTTTCATGATATCACAAGCTAGGATATCAAGTATGCCATGTGATATAATGTAATTTAATATTTTCAGTTTTGTGAGGAAATCTCAATAAAATTTCATCTCAAATTGATAACTTTTCATCTAAGTAGACAGACAGAATTTACGTGGACTGAAGTGACTCAGTTGTCAGTCCACTCTGCTAAATCATTGACAGCCTTAGGCTTAAAAGTGATACATAGCCTTTCGGCTGTTCACCTCACTTTGAATCGATTGGTAATCAATATTTATCTGACGTTAGGGGTTTCGCAGCTACTGATTTCCATTAGTAGTATATGTGTTTGTTCAGTTCATTCTTTGTCTTCCAAGTGGAACATAGATCTTCACGATTGAAAACCTTAAAGTTTCAGGGCCAAGTTAAACTTTAAGCACCACTAACTACCAATGGAGTGCGACCGCACCAATGACCTTGAAACGCCCACTGAGCAAATTAGTGAAACCTGGCAAATAATGTTGTCATCATCAATAAAATATGCTCATCGAAGTGTTATGCTATTAAATGGGATATCTGGGAAGTTTCAGCTTAGTTTTGGGAAAGATTAAGTTACGCTTTAAGCAAAGGACAAGTTAGGGTTAGGTTAACCTAATAAAGGCGACATTAGGGTTGGTTCGAGTTAGATTACAGTTAGTTTAGGGATATTTCACGTTAGGGTTAGGTTCAAGAAAGATTAGGGTTATTGTTAGGGTTAGAAGACCTAAATAATTACATGCATAGAATGTGGTTAAATTACTCTGTTGATATAAGAATAGAACTTGTGCACTGTGGTAGAGTATAATTCCATTGTGGGTAAAATTTATTTTGATAAATTCTCATAGTGTTATACAGTAATATTTACTGATGACGTTTCGAGCACAATTTATTGCTCAGTGAAT